CTTATATTTAGACATTTATTTAAGCATATAGAAGCAATTATATATATATATATATATATATATATATATATATATATATACAGTATTGTACAAATTCTACTAAACTGTGGGCATTAATCAATTTAATTCGGTAGAATTTATACAACATTACATAAAATATGGTCTCCTACATATATATATAGATCGATAGCCATACTAATTGATTAAAATACAGACAATTTTTATGTATCTGGTTGGAATATTTAACACAATGAAATTACATAAGCCAAACCTGAGTCTTAAAGCATATATATACATATAAATATATATATATATCCCAAAAAAAAAATCCCAAGTTGTATATATAAGTTGTTTATACAGCCAAAATGAACTCATGATATTAATAAATTTCTCTAAATCAGTACAAGAGATAAAATGTAAATGAAATTTGAAAAGAGGAAGAAGATTAAAAATAGTTGAATGGAAAAATAAATTTAAAAAAAAAAGAAACACCCATATTTCTAAACAACCTAAGATGCATTTATATATATATATATATATATATATATATATATATATATATAATATAGTAGGCCTATATATATACATATAAATGTATGTATATACGCATATATACACAATACATACATATCTATTTATTTACAATTGACTCAACAAGCATAAAAAAGCGAATGATGATCATAATAAAAATATTATGGTTATAATTATTAATAATAATTAATTATATCAATAATAATAATAATTCTTAAAGTTAGATCAATAAAATTCTTTTTTCTTGACCTATTCAATTATTATCTGAAGCAAAAATTTCAAACATCAAGTAACAACATCAACAACGACATATAATAATAATAATAATAATAATATTATAATAAGCAAAACTAATCAATTAAATGACAATTAAAACATAACAATTCGTTTAAAAAGAATCGAGCAAACTCAATATTTTAGATGATGATAATTTGAACACACACAGATATATTAATGACTAAACTGCTGTAATACACCGCACGCACACACACACACACACACACATAAAAACACACACAGATACATACACACACATAGAGACACGTACACACACACACACACAAACAAACACATTAAAACACACACACACACAAACACACACAGACACGCACACACATACTCACATACACGCATATGTTGTAACAAATGCAATATATTTTCAGAAATTATAACGAGCATTCTAATTGGTTCCTCTAAGTAGGAATGGAGAATTGAGCATTTTATGATTACCATAGCTATTATTATTATTATTATTATTATTGTTGTTGTTGTTGTCATCATCATTGCTGCTGTTGTTGTTTTCGTCGTCGTTAAAATTGTTGTTTCTATTGTTATTTTTCTTGTTATTATTATTATCATTGTTGTTGTTATTATTGTTATTATTTAGAAGGAAGCCCCTCTCTTGCATTATCTGCTGCAGCTCCGAATCATATTGCTTGTGCCTGGAATATGATAAGTAATTAATAATTATATAATAATCATTAATAATAAATTAATAATATCAATAATAATTAATAATAATAAATAACCTTCTACGGTGTGCAATTTGTTCTCAAATACTCGAAATCATTATAAAATGAGTAATAAAAATAATAATAACAATAAACAAACAAACTATTAAAGATTTGAAGTTATTTTATACTTATTAGAAAGAGAGAGAGAGAGA